TCCAGGAAGAGACCCTCGGGGGGAGGAGAAGGAAAAACAGCAGGCGGCCACGAGGAAGACACCCAGTGCCTCATTGCCAGGACGCCACAGCCTGGATATAAAGGACACCCTGGGGAGGGAGCCTCCAGACCAGCCCCATCCTCCGCCCCGATCCCTCCCAGCCCCAAACCACCATGTGTGACACCAGCTGCCCTGCGAGCTGCCAGCCGGCCTGCTGTGTGCCCAGCTCCTGCCAGGACATTTGCTGTGTGCCCAGCTCCTGCCAGCAGGCCTGCCCTGCTGTCTGCTGCCCCGCTTCGGGCTGCAGGAGCCCCTGCGCTGCCCGCCGTGTGGCTCTGCTGTGCCAACCTGCCGGCAGGTGCCTGTCCCCATGCTGCCCAGTGGCCTCCTACTGCGAGCCCAGCCCCTGCCAGGCGTCCTGCTGTGTGCCCGTGAGCTGCCAGCCAGCAGTGTGTGTCCCTGTGAACTGCAGGCCCGTGTGTGTCCTCGTGAGCTGCCAGCCCACCGTGTGTGTGACCCCCGCCTGCCAGCCCTCCCGCCCTGCCCTCATCTGCAGGCCCCTCCCCTGTGGAGCCCCTCCTTGTTGCTGACAGATCGTCCAGAAAATCGATGCTCTGCTATTGATCTCGAAGGGCCTCTCCTTGTCTAATTAACAGGATTCCGTCCATGCATCTCAGTGCTGAATCGGTGACAGACCTACATCCCATAGAGGCGGGACATCCACCTTACTTTTCTTATCCATGAAAGCTTAGCGATCTATAAAAAATAAATCTCTGAGCCTCAATGCTGGCTTTTTTGTGATTTTCCTCTAAGCCCTGTCTGCTTGCCACTTGCTGTCCTGGACAAGCCGAGGCCAGCATGGAACTCCTGTCCTGGGGTGGAGGTTCTACTGAGAAAGCCATGCCCCTGCAACATTGAGGTGGGGGGTACTCTGTGGGGAGGGGCGGCCCAGGCCGCTGAATCCAAAGGGGCGTTCTCCCAGCGTCTCCATTGAGAAGCTTGATCCTGGGCTCTTTAAGGAAAGAGCAATGGGGTGGCGGTAGGCAGAGCCTAACATGCAGCTGCCTGCAATTTCCCAGAGGGCTTTCCAGGAATAAGGTTCACTGCGAGCTTCACTGAAGGCTGGACCAGGAGCCAGGGTGGCAGAGGAGCGGATGTAAGCTCAAGAAAAGAGTTTCCTACAAGTCAGAGCCACCCTGAACAGAAGCCACCTGGCTACTGTCCTGGCTTCCAGCACTGAAAGGCTGGAAGGCAGCAGGCGGAAGCGGGCACCAGCCGCGTGTCCGTCAGCAGGGGAAGTGTTAGTCGCTCAGTTGTGGCTGACGCTCTGCGACCCTGTGGACTGTAGCCCACCAGGCTCCTCTGTCCATGGGATTCTCCAGGCAAGAATACTGGAGTGAGCTACCATGCCCTCCTCCAGGGGATCTTCCTGACCTAGACTGAACCTGAGTCTCCTGCATCACAGGCAGATTCTGTCACTGCTTCTGCTTTTCCCCTATCTATTTGCATGCAAATGACAGGACCAAATGCCATGATCTTAGTTTTTTGAATGTTGAGTTTTAAGCCAGCTTTTTCACTCTCCTTTTTCACCTTCATCAAGAGGCTCTATAGTTCCTCTTCACTTTCTGCAATGAGACTGGTATCGTATGCAAATCTGAGGTTGTTGATATTTCTCCTGGCAGTCTTGATTCCAGCTTGTGATTCATCCAGCCAGGCATTCCACATGATGTACTCTGCATATAAGTTACATAAGCAGGGTGACAATATACAGCCTTGTGATATTTCTTGCCCGATTTTGAACCAGTCAGGTGTTCCATGTTGGGTTCTAGCTATTACTTCTTAACCTGCATACAGGTTTCTCAGGAGGCAGGTAAGGTGGTCTGGTCATCTCTAAGAATTTTCCACAGTTTGTTGTGAACTACACAATCAAAGGCTTTAGCATAGTCAATGAAGCAGAAGTAGATGTTTTTCTGGAATTCCCTTGTTTTCTCTAAGCAGTGTGGCCTCTGGTTCCTCTGCCTTTTCTAAATCTACCTTGTACATCTGGAAGTTCTTGTTCAGGTACTGCTGAAGCCTAGCTTGAAGGATTTTGAGCATAACCTTACTAGTGTGTGAAATGAGTGCAATTGTACAGTAAGTTGAACATTTTTTGGCATCCTACAATATGTCAGTTTTTGAGATTGACTTTTTTCAATCCACATAACTCCCTTGAGATCCACTGAGACTGTGTGTGTCAATAATTTGCTCCTTTTTACTGCAGAGTAAGACTCCAAGGTGTATATTTTTCTCAGTTTGCTAACCATTCACCTGTCAATGGGCAGGTGGGTTATGAAAAGGTTTTTAACTATAAATCCAACTTCTCTGATGGATATAGGGCTATTCAGTTTATCTATTTCTTCTTGAGTGATTTTTGATAGTTTGTGTCTTCTAAGTAATTAATCTGTTTCACTTAGTTTGTCAAATTTATGGGCATAAAGTGACTCATAATATTCCCTTATTACACTTCCAATGTCTGTAGAATTTCTAGTGATGTCACATCTCTCATTCTTGATATTGGTGATTAGTATCTTCTCTGTTTGGCTTGCTAGTCAGTATGGATAAAGATTATTCGATTTTATCCATTTTCACAAGGAAACAGCTTTTAGCTTATTTGATTTTCTCTTTTATTTTTCTGTTTCCCATTCCATTGATTTTTCTACTCTGATCTTTGGTTTTGGTTTTCTTTTTTGAATTTAATTTGCCTTCTAGTTTCTCAAGGCAGAAGCCGAGGTCGTTTATTTGAGAGTTTTCTTCTTCTCAGACAAGGACATTCAGTGCTACAAATGTCCCACTCAGCATCGCTTTAGCAACATCCCACGAATTTTGATATGTGGTATTTTCACTTTTATACATGTCAAAATATGTCCTGATTTCCTTTTTTCTTCATTTCCTGATTTATGTTTTATTTAGAAGTTTATTTCATTTCTAAGTAGTTGGGGATTTTACAAGATTTTTCTGTTCCTGGGTTTCTAATTTAATCCCAATGTGGTCAGAAAATACCTGTTTTGTGATTCAAATATTTTCAGATTTACAGAGACTTGCTTTTATAGCCCCCATATAGTCTATCTTAACAAATATGAACTTTCTTGATACATGTTTTGCTTTGATTGAAAATGAAAGGTTTTTCTGTTTGGGAATGGAGTATTTTTTCAATGTCAAATAGTTCACTGGTTAATATGTTCATGTTTAGTTACTAAGTCATGTCTGACTCTGCAATCCCATAGACTGTAGACCACCAGTCTCCTCTGTCCATGGGATTTCCCAGGCAAGAATACTGGAGTGTTTTGCCATTTCTTTCTCCAGGGGATCTTCCTGACCCAGGGATTGAACCCATGTCTACCTGTGTCTCCTGCATTGCAGGCAGATTCTTCACCACTGAGCCACTCAATAGTCTATATCCTTCCTGACCTTCTGTCTCCATGTTTTATAAATTATTGAGAGAGGATTATTGAAATCTCAAGCTGTAAGAGCAGATTTGTCTGTTTCTCATTGCAGGTCAATCAGTTTTTGCTTCATACATTTTGAAGGTCTACTATTAGGTGCATCAGTATTTAGGATTGAGTGACTTGTTTTATCTTTATGAAAGGATCCTCTCCATCCCTGGCAATAGGTTTTGATCTGGAAGCTATATTATATGGTATTGATAAAACTTCCCCAGTTTTCTTTTGATTAATGTTAACATGATATATCTCTTTCCAACTTTTTATCTTTAACCCATTTTCATTTTGTATTTAAAATGCATTTCTCATAGTCAGCATAAAGTTAGGTCAACTTCAGTCAACCAGTCTCCATCTTAATTGGAGCATGCAGACAACCTATGTTTAGGCCACAGTCTGTGGGGTTGCAAAGAGTTGGACATGACTGAAATGACTGAGCACACTTGTATGCAGAGGCTGGTGTGAATTTTTCATGTAAGGTGTTGCTCTGGCACTGGGCCATAGCTTAATCACTCATTCCTCCACCCCTCCCTCCCCCTCCTCCTGTCTCCCTCCCTCCCTCCCCTCTTTATGCACTAAAATGAGGCTGCAGAAGTCCTTTTGGGTTTTCCAAAGAAGCCAATGCCAGCACAGGATAGACTCACTAGAAGTTTATTTTGGGGATGCCTGTGGGTAGAGTAAGAGGGGGAGCAGAATGGGGAAGGGCCTTGACATGCCCAGGTTGACCAGACTCCTCTGCGTGGGGAGCAGGAAGGAAGGAGGGCCTGGTGGGCAGCACCTTGGCCCTCCCCAGAGCTCTGATGCCTCAGCAGGTGGATGTATAGTTGGAGCACGAGCCCTGTGTCCTGCTGTCCCAATCGTATGCTGGGAGCAGCCTGGCATGGATGCTGGGGTCAAAGCAACGGTGGCAGCTGGGACCCCATGGTGGGTTCTTGTGAGGGGATCTGCGTGGAGCCTTTAGGATGGACACAGTACGCCTTTGACAAGCAGCATTCAGAGCTGAGGAAACACTATTCACTGTCCTGGGGACCTCACCGGGCAGGGAGGGCTACAAGTGTCACGGGAGAGAGGCAGAATGTGGCTGGGTTGCAGAGCCGCAGGCCTCCAAGGCCTCGTGATTGACCTCGGGGTGTTTGGCCACTCCTCGGCTTTGTGGGGGAGGCCTGGACAGCTCAACCTCGGCCTGAAGCACAGGGTGGCCACGCCCTGTCTTGCCAGGTCCCAACTCCGGGGCCTTCCTGGTTCTCTTCTCCCAGGAAGGGTCATGGGAGGTTCCATTTGGAGTTCTGAGGGTGGTGTGCGCCTCTCCACAGAGCCCCTGCCACCACCACACTCAGATCAGGAGAGGACATGGGATGAGGAAGCGTGTGGAGTGAAGAAGCGGAGTTTATTAGGCTAGGCGGGCAGGTCCTGTGGAGAGTCTGGGAACAGAGGGGGCGGGGCCTTGAGGGGGCGGGGCCGCGATGAGGGGCGGGGCCCAGAGAACCAGACCCGCTGTGAAGACTCAGCCTGGGCTTACGCCGCTCTAGAATGACCTTGGCAGCAACTGCTGAGAAGACCCTGGGGGACGAGTCCTTGTCATTCCTGGTTGCACAGAGGAGTCGGCCTGTGGGTGTCCTTTCTGGGGTTAAAGTCCTGGTGGAGGTTAAGGGCTGGTATCTTTGAGCTGAGCCTCTCTGTTGAGGGACCCTGGAGCCTGGCTGGCCCTGAGGGGACATGCCAGCCAAGTCAGCAGCAGGGCTCCGGGGCCAAGGCAGGGACACAGCAGGCTGGGCGGGAGCATGCGGGCCGGCAGAGCAGGGACACGGAGGAGGCCGGGCGGCAGCAGCTGGGCTGGCAGGAGGAGGCGGGCACGCAGCAGGCGGGGCGGCACACGGGGCGGCAGAGGAGGGACACGGAGGAGGAGGGTCTGCAGCAGGACGAGGGGGCTGAGCAGGGGGAGGCCTCACAGCACACGGGCCTGCAGCAGACGGGCTCACAGCAGACGGGCCTGCAGCAGACAGGGGTGCAGCAGACGGGCCTGCAGCAGACGGGCTCACAGCAGATGGGCCTGCAGCAGACAGGCTCGCAGCAGGCCTGCCGGCAGGGGGAGGTGGTGCAGCAGGAGGGCTGGCAGCTAGACTGCTGGCAACATGAGGAGGTAGAACAGGGGGAGGCTTCATAGCACACAGGTGTGCAACACACAGGAGTGCAGCAGACAGGTCTGCAGCAGACGGGCTCACAGCAGGCCTGCTGGCAGGGGGAGGAGGTGCAGCAGGAGGACTGGCAGCTAGACGGCTGGCAGCATGAGGCCAGGCAGGAGCTGCTGCAGGCTGGCTGGCAGCAGGGGCTGGACTCACAGCTCACTGGGGCACAGAGGAGGGTCAGGCGGGGGGCCGGGGCGCAGCAGCTGGGGGCACAGCAAGGGGGCTCGCAGCAGCTCTCTGGACAGTCGTCCACCTGCCAGGAGGAGTCGTTGCAGGAGTCATAGGACCCGGGCAGGCAGATCCGGCTGCTGTAGCTCAGGTCGCTGGAGCAAGCAGACAGGTTGGAGAAGGCCATGGTGGAGCTGGAGGAGGAGTGTGTGTGCGTGAGGAGGTGTGTGTGTGAGGGGCTCAGAACAGTGGCTTATATACCCCTCCTGGGCGTGTGTGTTGTCCCAACAGAGGCTTCCGCGCCCGCTCTTCCTGGTTGGCATGGGGCCCTGTGAGGCCTCTCATTAGGGTCAGCCCCACTGTCATGAGATGTCCTTGCTCAGCTCATAAAACTTGGGGTCACTGCTGGCAGGGTGCTGGGTGGTGGCCTGAGACTGGCCCTACAGGACACCTGGAGGCACCCTGCAGCCTTCCCGTGGCTGACCCCGTGGCCTCTCCCAGGCAGGTCATATGCGTGGGTACCTTTTGAGAGCGCCAGACCCATGAGAACATGCACTGTGTGGGTCCAGTCTGTGTGTAGGGCCTCACCTGGCTTAGCTGGCCTGGCCTGTGATTGGGGAGAAGAGGACAGACGTATCCATTTGGGGGAAAAGGCAGCAGGAGAGGACAGTGCCTTATTGGCGGGCTCTGTGAACTTCTGTGGTCCCCATGTCAGCAAGGAGGATGGGGCCTGAGAACAGAAGAGGATCTTCCCTCCCCTAAGTAGGAGATGGACTGTTCCAGTAATGTTGGGGCTCCTTGGCGCATTAGAATGACCAGATCCAAAGACTGAACTTTGAGTGCTAAACCACTTCCCCCAGAGCCCATGGTCGTTTGTCCTGAGAGGTAGGTCTTGGATCAGGATTTAATCATGAGACAGGTGTGGATGAAGGTGGTGTGGAGAAGCTGGAGAACAATCTGTCCTTGATGTAATTTCAATAAAAATCCAAAGGGAATCTTTTTTGTGTACAAATCGAGAATATTGAACTGCCAGAAAATATTTGCAATTTGCATGATGGATGAAAAGTTAATATGAACATTTTAAAGTGATTAAACTAAAACAATATGATATAAAATATCAAACAAAATTAAAAACATTTGTTTTCAGTAATCATATGAAAAACTACTTGATGTCAACAATGAAAGTTTCTTAAATTAAAACATAAATGTCCCACCTGTAAGATGAACCAAGATTTACTAAGCTAAACATTTCCAGTGCTGCTGTGTGTGGGGGCTCACTCTTAAACAGGCATGCTTTTTTTCACATAATATGAAACTTATTATTTCCTCCATTTTGAAGTGGACAATTCAGTGACATTTAGTACAGTCACATGTGCAGCCATGACCACCACCCAGTTCTAGAACATTTTCATCACTCCAAAAGAATATCCTGTACTATTAAGCAGTCCCTCCCAACCCTTGTCAATCACTAATCTGCTTTCTTTTGCTACAGCTTTGCCTGTTTTGCACATTCCATGTAAATGGAATCATACAATATGCACCTTTTGCGTTGACTTTTTTCACTCAGCATGTTTTCAAGGTTCATCCGCATTGTAGTGTGTGTCAGTGCTTCATTCCTTTTAGGGATAATATTCCATTATATGGATAGACCACATTTTATTTATCCATTCATCAGTTGATGGACATTTTGGTCATTTCCACCTTTTGGTTAATGTGACTAATGCTGCTTTGAACATTTTGTATAAGTTTTTGATTGAACATTGCTTTTTAACTTCTTGGGTGTATACCTAGGAGTGAAATTTCTGGGTCATATGGTGGCTCTGTGTTTAATATTTAGAGGTACTTCCTGGCAGGTTTTCACTCAGGTGCAACACTTTACATTCCTACTAGTAGTTTCCACATACTTGCCAACACTTGTTATTTTCTGTTTTTTTCTTTAAACTATAGCCACCTTAGTGAGTTGGAAGTGGCATCTCCTTTTGATTTTGATTTGCATTTCTCTGATGACCACTGATACTGGGCTTCCTTTCATGTGCTTGTTGGCTGTTGGCTGTTTGTATATCTTCTTTGGAGAGGTGTCTATCAAAGTGCTTTGAAAGAAAGAAAGAAAAGAAAGTGAAGTCGCTCAGTCATGTCTGACTCTTTGTGACCCCATGGACTAGCCCACCGGGCTCCTCTGTCCATGGAATTTTTCAGGCAAGAGTACTGGAGTGGGTTGCCATTTCCTTTTCCCTGGGGATCTTCCTAACCCAGGGACCATTTTTAATTGGATTGTCTGTCTTTTTGTTGTTGAGTTGTAGTTCTTTGTTTTCTGAATATTAGACCCTTATCAGAATTATGACTTGCAAATATTTCCTTCCATTCTGTGGGCTGCCTTTTCACTTTCTTGATGTTGTCCATCAATATATAAAACTTTTTAATTTTGATGAAGTTGAATTTATTTTTTTTTATTTGTTGCTTGTGCTTTTGGTGTCATATCTAAGAAACTGTTGCCAAATCTAAGGTCATGCAGATTTATCTTTATGTTTTCTTCTTAAAGTTGTAGTTTTAGCTCTTATAATTAGATCTTTGACACGTTTTGAGTTACTTTTTGTATGTGGTGTATGATAGGGTTCAACTTCATTCTTTTGCTTGTAACTATTAGTTGTCCCAGCACCATTTATTAAAGAGACTATTCTTTCCCCATTGAATGGTCTTGATAATCTTGTTGAAAATCAGCAGACCATAGATGTACGGTTTTATTTCTTGACTCTCAGTTTTATTCCATTGATCTATTATGTCTATCCTCATGTCACTACCACTATTTAGAAGGCTGTAGCTCTGTACTAAGTTTTATTTCTTTCTTTCTAATTTGGGTATCTTTTACTTCTTTTTCTTGCCTAATTTCTCTGACTAGAATTTCCAGGACAGCATTGACTAGAAGTGGTGAAAATGGACATCATTGTCTTTTTCCTGATTGTAGGGGAAAGTTTTCAGTATTTTACCACTGAACATGTTGATGACTGTGGGTTTTTCAAAATGACCTCTGTTATACAGTTGAGGAAATTCTCTGTACTCTTAGTTTTCTGACTGTTTCTATCTTGAAAGAGTGTTGTCTATTTTCTTTCTTTTTTTTTCTTGACACTTTTAAATTTATTAAAATTAAAAGTTTATTTGTGCATACTAACAGATGTTACAAAAAATTTTAAAAAAATAAGCCCACTTGCTGAGAGAGAAACCATGTAAAATGCATACAACCTTTACATAATTAGCATGCAGCATACTTAAAGCAGTCCTACAAATCAACATAATAAACAATCCTATTCCCATAGCAAATAATGTAAACAGACAATTCACAGAAGAAACATGAAACATTTTTTCTTTTGTCCAATAACAACAGAAAAAATGTTCATATTCACTTGTAGTCAGAGGAACATAAAAGAAAATTACTCATCATCAGATTGGCAACAACAACAACAACAAAATTTAAGTATCTCTCAATACCAAATGCTGGCCAGGATGGAAAGCATCAGGAGCATCCAGTCTGCAGGTAGTATAAATTGTTAAAAACTACTTTAGAAGGAAATTTGGTATCATCTAGTAAAGTTAAAAATGCTCATCACTACAACTCATGAATTTCAATTCTAGTTTTACAAACTAGAAAAACTGCCACAGAAGATACAAGAAAACATGTATGACCATAATCATTTTATCATTGTTCACTCAAATTATTTATATAAACTTACTTCACTTGAAAAGTTTAATTCTACATATTCCAGTGTAACAACCGAATCAAATGCACTAAGATAAAATTTTCACTTTTGAACTATGCCATTCTCTTTAAAGTGCAGTAAGAGACTTTAGTTATGAAACATGCAAGATAAAAAGTGAATTATATGTACTTCAGATTAGGATTAGTGAAATTTTAAATTGCAACTGGTACTTCTGAGTTCAGTCAGTCAGTTCAGTCGCTCAGTCGTGTCCGACTCTTTGCGACCCCATGAATTGCAGCATGCCAGGCCCTCTGTCCATCACCAACTCCCAGAGTTTACTCAAACTCATGCCCATCGAGTTGGTGATGCCATCCAGCCATCTCATCCTCTGTCGTCCCCTTCTCCTCCTGCCCCCATTCCCTCCCAGCACCAGGGTCTTTTCCAATGAGTCAACTCTTCGCATGAGGTGGCCAAAGTACTGGAGTTTCAGCTTCAGCATCAGTCCTTCCAATGAA